TTGAACCTTCTGATGGAGAAACAAGTTGTTGAAGATAAAATTAGGTAAGTGTTCTTACTAATTTCTTATAGCTCTGTTCTCTAACAACATTGAGCACTCTATTTGTAGAATACAATAACCTAATTTAATGTAGAATATACTAACATAATAACAATAACTTTTCTGATTTTTTTTAGCACAAAAAGTAGCTTGTAAAGTTAAAATAAAAAATAAAAAACAGATTAGAAAACCAGGTGCACAGTAAACTTTTCTGTGTGAAAAAATATGATTAAAAAAAATGAAAAAAAAACTATTTAAAAAAAATAATCAGTTTTAAAAAAAAATATATAGTATAAATAAATCAGAAAAACAAAAACCTTTCTTTTTCTTAATTGGTATTCTTTTTCAAAAAATATTTTGCTTTGGAATAGGGTTGTTCGCCGAAAAACAAAACTTGGGAAAATTTCGCATCTTTATCTACCGTAATAGAACTGTTATTGCGGAAGTTGCACATGCAAAAATGCACATTCCGTAACGCGCTATACGAAAATATAAATAAATAAAATTCCGTAATAAAGCATTGCGAAAGAAAACTTGCGAAACAAATCATTTTGTAAGAATACTTACGAAATAGTTCCTTACGGAAAAAACATTCCGGAATGTGCAGTTACGAAAAAGACGCAAAAGATTTTATGTTACGATATATTTAAGATATTAACTGTTAACAGTTTAAATAATAAATAATAAAATTATAAAAAAATCTTGTCAAATGATTCTTCAAATGTTTATACAAATATACTTAATATATATATATATATATATATATATATATATATATATATATATATATATATATATATATATATATATATATATATATATATATATATATATATATATATATATATATATATATATATATATATATATATATATATATATATATATACATACATATATATACAGTAAAATCCCGTTAAGTTGGACTCTCAATAAACAGATAAACAGTATGCCTTTCTTTTTAAAAAGTATAAAGAGGATGTGTGATAAACAATTAAATACTTTATTATAAAGAACGAGAGATCTCTCTAAAGGTAAATGATATCAGAAAGAGTAAAAAGAGAAGAAATATATTTGAAACAGCGGGATGTGAACCTGGGTCTACGCGGCCAAATGTCTTAACTGATTGAGCTATACGTTCATTCAACTAAGTGAATAGGAATATTTATTTAATATATAATTTAAAAACTATATAAAACAGAATTTACAGAAAAAGATACGTATGCAAATAGGATTCTATATATCAGGAATACGAATAGTAATGTGAACCTTTAGATGCTTATAATTAATATCTGGACTCAAAAACTAGTTACTTTTAATGGAACACAATAGGCTGTCGGAGCCTCAGGGAAATTATATTCAGAAATGATTTTAAGATCTATACTTCGAAAAGCGTATTCAAACAGGACTCTACATACCTTTAAAATCTTCTAGAACTTTAGTAACGTGCACACTTTTAGAAATTATTGAAATAGGTATATTTTATCAGAAATATGCTTAAGCTAAAGCATATTTTTGAGCCTCTTTTTACTATTTGCTTAAGCATATTCGAACCTGTTTCAAAAATTTCATATGCTTTTAAAAAAAAAACATGTATATTCCTACCCATCATTCTTATTTTTAATATACGTAATGAGTTCAAAAAACATCGTTGAATATATATATTATGGCACGTTTCGTAAGTTGATTTCCGTTAAGAATTCTTTCGTATGTTGTGATCCGAAATACTTTCGTTTCGAAAGAAATTTTATTTTTTATTAATATTTCTAAAAATAAAACCATAAAAATTTAATAGTTATTATACTGAGTTATAAAAATTCATTATAAACATTTTGGGATTTAAAGATGTTAATTTTTACAATTAAAATCAGTCTGGCAAACAAATTTTCTTTATAGATTTCAAAACGTCGTTTAGCGAAAATGTTTGTTTCGCAAGTGCGACTTACGAAACCGATACTTTCGTATGTTGCAAAATAGTTTTGTTTCGTATGTCAACTTGCGAAATGCTAAATTTTGGAAGTGGCTTTTGCGAAATGCACATCGGCGATTTTAAATGTTTTGTAACATTCGGTACGAAAAAATGTAATTCCGCGTTCTCAATCTCCTAACGATAGAATGTTGTTTTTCCGGAATTGCACGAAATCCTCCGGTTAACAACCCTACTTTGGAAGCTGTATTTAAAAAAAATTAAACACTATTAAATAATAATAATAATAACAAGAAAATTAAGCCAATAAATAATATCTACAACATTTATCATTATACAAAATCTTAAAGGGATCCCTAAGTGCCAAGACAAGTTGTATTCATAATAAAAAAAAAAAAAAATTTAATTTTTGGGCTGAATTTTTTTGATTGAAACAAATTAACAAACGTGTACAAAGAAAAACAACGGAATAAAGATTAATTTTTTTCTGATGTAATTATAAACAGCTTCTACTAGTATTAACTCTGTGTCTTTCTTCATGTTCCAAAGTATATTGTGATAGTGAAAACACTACACCAATAATATAATATTTGGCTTCCTAAATTTGATGGAAGTGATGTTTTTCTCCAATTATTTTATGTTTAATAAAACACAAATCAATCATGGTACACAAATTAACCATGGTACACAAATTAATCATGGTACACAAATTAATCATGGTATACAAATTAATCATGGTACACAAATTAATTATGGTACAAATGTTCGATTACTATGTCAACAAATTTTTGGTAATTTTTACTTCCCCATTTTTAACAACTTTTCAAACTTCCAGAGACTCCTATAAAATTAGGTCAACATTTAATAAGCCCCCACCCCCTCTCTCAATTTCAAATAAAATTAAAATGAATAAAAAATTTTTTTTTTCTTTTTTTAAGTGATTAAATTTATTAAAAAAGTAACATTGTTGATGTCAACAATGTTACTTTTTTACAATGTTACTCCCCCCCTTCCTTTTGCAAACAACTTTCAGAGACCCCTATTATAAAATGAATTTAATTATTAAAAACAAGCTCAACCTTATTTTGCAAATAATGTTGAACTTGTTTTTAATAATTAAATTGAAAATAAAAAAGAAATTTTCAATCAATATTACCCATAGATATATAAATTACTGGATACAGCGTAGGCATGTCTGACCATGTAATTTTGGAAAATATTTGACCGTTGAAAAAGTGACGTAGAGTGAGGCAAAACGATTTTATACAAATTCGCAAATAGTAGTTTAATAAAAGTAATATGTAATATAATCGCTTATAATTAATACTTAACTTAACGCTGCCGCTGCTGCTGCTGCTGCTCACCATTCGTGCACCTTTACACGGACTTTTTTACCATACTTGGCCTTTGAGTTTTATTATAAATTGCTTTACTTCTGAACTCGCGTAATGAGGCTCTTTCAAATCTTAATAATCTGTCAGTATCTGCCTAATCAGTAATGAGATCAAAAACTTTGTTTCATCAGCTTAATTAGTGATAAGATCAACAATTTTTATTTGATAACTTCTGTAGTAAAGGATGAACATTATGTTGTTATTGAATTAGTAAAGTAACTTTTAAAGTCAGGTGATTTATTTAAATCATGCATTTTAGTCTTTTGTCAATTGTATTTAAATTTATTAATTTATAAAATTAGTCTGTAATTTTTAAATTAAAAGACGACTCAAGAAGACGTTGCTCATTTCAAAGGTCAAGAGGTCAAACTCTTGATAAAGTTAGTGTTTAAAACACTTGCATCTCACACGGTCAACTCAATGTTACATGTTAAAGAACAAGATCGTTTAATACCTTATTTAAAAGAAGTTATAAAAATCCGTATAAAAAACCAGATTGTTTGATAGTTTGTTTTTGAAAGTTGTTAAACATTTATTACGAGGTATTTCAAAAAACAAAAATAAGGTTGTATTTGTAAAGTTTCAAATTTATATATTTTTCTTAATTTATATATTTATCTATATATGTGTGTTATTTATATTGTGTTTTATTGTGTATATATGTGTTAAGGTTATATGGGTTTATATTTTGTAAGTGTGTAAATATATGAAATGTTTCAATGTTTGTGGTGTGTTATATGTAATATGTTTATAGTTTGTAAGTGATAATTATGTTGTTTGCATGGTTTCAAATTGTTGTGACTGGGCTTAGTTTACAGCTAGATTGTTGACCTTGCTAGCCAAGTGGTGTACTTTGCTATAATGTCACCTGGCTTTGTTGAGAGCAAAAATATTGTCCTCGCCAGCAGAGTGGTGTATTGTCATAATAAAACACATAAATTAATTCTGTTTGTAATTAGTGTATTTCTAAAATGTGTTGAAAAAATATTGTTGAAAAAATGTGTTTTAATGTTGTTATCCTCTGTTCTTAACAATGTATGCTTTTGACAATAAATAAATTTTGTTAAAAAGCAGGCTTTACTAACAGCTCCTCCTCATTAAAATTTTTAAGAGTTTCGATTTTCTTCATTAAATATGTTTAACTCAAATTTTTTTTATATATATAAAAGTAAGTATACAGCGTGTTGAAGCATAAGTTTTAATAACTTTTGTTAAATTTTTAGGGTTTTTTGTATAGAGAATGTTTTCTTTATATTATTATTTTAATGTTTTGTATGTACATCATATATATATATATATATATATATATATATATATATATATATATATATATATATATATATATATATATATATATATATATATATATATATATATATATATATATATATATATATCCTCCCTCAAATAATGGCCCTTTCTGTTTTAGGGTCTGTAGGCAAATTTTGCATCGTGTTGGAAATTTAAGGCCTGCAGAAGGTTGTCTGCCCAAATATTGTCAGCTGTATATCTATGATCCTAATGCAGCAGTGTCATTCAGAATGGAACAACCTGGTAATGATGGTTGTATACATGAGTTAATGCAACTCTTGCAAACATTAATTAATCAAGAAAACCCATTTGCTCTTGCATTTAAAAACATGGCAGAAGTAGAGGATGAAGAAATCCGCCAAGCAGCTTTAGAAGGTAGACCAACCTCTGTTGTAAGAATGTCTTTGCTTGAAGGTCATGATAGACGTCGATACAATCTTCCTTCCCATGAGGAAGTTGCTATTGTGTTTGTGGGAGATGATGGTGCTCCACCTGCATCCAGGGAAATTGTTATATACCCTCGAGGTCAGCCTTTAAGAACAATTTCGTCTATGTCTGCAAATTAGGATCCTTTGGTATATCCAATATTCTTCCCGAGAGGTGATGCTGGATGGCACAATCAACTAGAGCACAACCCTGACCGTGCAACCCGTGTTAGAAACCATGTTACTTTGTCTCAGTATTATAATTAAAGGCTTGCTGTTAGACAAACTTTTAGTCCTATATTCTATGGTAAGAAACTTTTTCAGCAATATGTTGTTGATGCATATGTCAAAGTTGAGGGACAGCGCCTTGCTTTTATTAGAAATAGCCAAAACAAACTTAGAAGTGAGCAATATGATGCATTGCATGAACATGTAATTAATCGTGCTAATGATCTTAATGTAAAACCAGGCCGTGTTGTTATATTGCCTTCTTCATATGTTGGTAGTCCAAGAGCATTAAAAGAAAACTTTGAAGATGCGATGGCAGTCATAAAGAAATATGGTAAACCAGATCTATTCATTACTTTTACCTGCAATCCAAAATGGAGAGAAATAGTAGAAAATTTAAACCCAGGCCAAACTGCTAATGACAGACCTGATTTAGTTTGTCGGGTATTTAAAATGAAACTTAAATTTTTCTTAGAGGATATTTTTAAGCATGGAGTCTTAGGCAAAGTTGTAAGTCATGTGCAGGTTATTGAGTTTCAAAAGCGTGGTTTGCCACATGTACATATTTTATTGCACTTTGTAAATGCTGATAAGCTAGAAACAGCAGAAGATATTGATAGTTTGATATCAGCAGAAATCCCAGACCCAGCTGTTGATCCTGAACTTTTTGAAATTATAAAATCATGCATGATACATGGACCATGTGGAATTTTAAATCCCAATTCTCCCTGCATGAAAGATGGTAAATGCACAAAAAAATTTCCTAAGGAATTTAATCCCCACACTGTTGCAATTTTTAATGGTTATCCACGCTATAGGCGCGTCGATAATGGAAGAATTGTAAATATAAAAGGTAATCAAGTTGACAACCGTTGGGTTGTACCTTATAACCCATGGCTTTCTAAAAAATATCAAGCACACATAAATGTTGAAGCCTGCATGACCATAAAGTCAGTTAAGTATTTATATAAGTACATTTACAAAGGGCATGACTGTGCCAATGTGGTGATAAATGAGCAAGTTAACCATGATGAAATAAACACGTTTTTAAATTGTCGCTATGTCTCAGCTCCAGAAGCATTGCGGCGAATATTTGAGTATTCTTTAAGTGATATGTCACATAACATCATTCGACTTCAGGTTCATCTGCCAGATAATCAGATGATATATTTTGTAGAAGGCAAAGAACAGGCAGCTTTAGACCGTGCAGCACAGCGTGACACTCACCTAACTGCATGGTTTAAATTAAATGTTGAAAATGAACAATCCCGACACTATCCATATGTTGAAATTCCTTACCACTTTGTTTTTGATAGCAAACATTGTAAATGGAAAGTTAGGCAAAGAGGTAGCAATAAGGTGATTGTTAGGATGTATAAAGTGAGTCCAATAGGTGAAATATTTTATCTTAGAATGTTACTTTTGCATGTTAGAGGTGCAGTTTCTTTTGAAGATTTGCGTACTGTTAATGGTACAGTTTTTAATACATTCCGAGAAGCATGTTCTCAATTAGGTCTGTTACAAGACGACGCTGAATGGAGAAATACATTAACTGAGGCTGCTGCAACTCGGTTGCCAAATCAAATTAGACAGATGTTTTCCATTATTTTGACTTTCTGTGAACCTGATGATCCATAAAATCTTTGGAATGCCTTTAAAGATTTTATGATGGAGGATTACATTCACCATTCCATGCCACCAATAATTGCTGAGCAGGCAGCTTTGCGTCAAATTGAATCTATAATTAATCAGAATGGTAAGACTTTAGCTGATTTTAATCTTCCTACTTTAGATGAGTTTTTAGATTATGTCCCACAAAATGAAGAGGAAGATGTTCAGGTTTTAATTGATGAAGCAAATAGGGTTAGACCATTGTTAAATGATAATCAGCGTCAAATTGCTGATGCTATCCTTTCTGCTCTTAGTGAGCAACCTAACAATGAAAACAAGCAGTCTAGATTGTTTTTTATGGATGGCCCTGCAGGTTGTGGTAAAACATTTACATACAATTATTTAATCGCTGAAACCAGCAGTAGACATATTATAACTGCAACAGCTGCATGGACAGGAATAGCTGCAACTCTTTTAAAAAAAGGATGTACACTTCATGGTTTGTTCAAACTTCCTGTGCCGATTTTGGAAAATAGCACATGCAATGTAACTCCAAATTCTATACACGGAAAATTCTTGAGGCAAGTAAGCCTTTATTTACTAGATGAGGCATCCATGATACCTAAACATGCTTTAAATGCCATTGATAAGTTACTTCAAGACGTTTGCAATAACAAGTTTCCTTTCGGTGGTAAAGTTATTGGCAATATGTTCAGCGATTTTCATTAACAGAAAATATGAGGGTTCAGGCCGAAGAAGAGGAATTCTCTCAATGGCTTTTAAAACTTGGTAGTGGAACATTACCTTTAAAAGCAGATGGTTCCTTTCGCGGGTGCATTGAGATTCCTGAGCAATGCTTGCTTGGAGAAAATGAATCTTTAGTAGACAAGATTTTTGGAGTTTCAGAAGAAGATGATTATGCTAAACGTGCCATTTTGACACCCAATAATGTTGATTCTTTAGCAATAAATGAAGAAGTTTTGGACCGCTTACCAGGTGACGTTAAGGTTTATTTAAGTGCTGATACTATTGAAACAGATGATCTTAACGAAATCAATAATTTTCCTGTTGAGTTTTTAAACAGTCTTACTCCATCAGGAATGCCTGTTCATTGCCTAAAGCTAAAAATTGGTGCTGTTATAATGTTACTTCGAAATTTAGATCTAAAAGCTGGACTTTGCAATGGTACCCGATTGATAGTGCGTGCTCTACAAAATAATTACATTGATGGGCAAGTTCTAACAGGTGTTTCAGTTGGCAAGAGGGTATTTGTCCCTCGGGTTCAGTTAACACAATCTGATTCAAATTTACCTTTTACTCTTAAGCGTCGTCAATTTCCTGTAAGATTAGCATACTCAATGACCATAAATAAAAGTCAAGGTCAAACTTTTGACAAAGTTGGTATTTATCTCAAAAACCCTTGCTTTTCACATGGTCAACTCTATGTTGCATGTTCAAGAACAAGATCGTTTAATACCTTATTTTTTAAAATTGATGAGCATTCATTACAAGGTATGTCATTTAACAAATGCTACACAAACAATGTTGTATTTACCAATGTACTAAATCTATAAATAATTAATTTTTTACAATTAAACTCCTCATTTCTTATAAATATTTTAACTGTAATTTAAAGTATTTTTGTGTGTTGCTTGATGCAGTAATGTGTGATATTTATTATGTGTTTAGATATGTGTTAAGGTTATATTTTGTAAGTGTTTATGTGTAACTAATGTGTAAATGACTGTTATATGTGAAGTGTATTTTTTATGTTATCTGTTTATAGTTTGTGAGTTGTTATTATGTTGTTTTCATGGTTTCAAAGTGGTGTGAATTGGCTTTGTTTATGGCAAGAGTGTTGTCCTTGCTAGCCAAGCGGTGTACTTTGAATAATGTGACTTGGCTTTGTTTATGGCAAGAGTGTTGTCCTTGCTAGCCAAGTGATGTACAGACATGAAACACATAATAAAATCTGTTTGTAATCACAAAATGTGTACTTATAAGTATGTTATATTTTGTAAGTATTTATGTGTAATTAATGTGTAAATGGCTGTTACATATGAAGTGTATTTTTTGTTATGTTATCTGTTTATAGTTTGTGAGTTGTTATTATGTTGTTTTCATGGTTTCAAAGTGGTGTGACTTGGCTTTGTTTATGGCAAGAGTGTTGTCCTTGCTAGCCAAGCGGTGTACTTTGAATAATGTGACTTGGCTTTGTTTATGGCAAGAGTGTTGTCCTTGCTAGCCAAGCGGCGTACTGACATGAAACACATAATAAAATCTGTTTGTAATCACAAAATGTGTACTTGCAAGTATGTTATGCTGTTAGTAAATAAAGTATTTACAATAAAGTCTGGATAACTCAATAAATCAACTTAAATAAATCAAACTAATTTTAAAATTCCAGTTGAGCGATTGTTTATGGATCATACTACCACTAACTGAAATATTTTCTAATAAGCTAATTGATTGATCCTTTGGTGGTTTAAGTTATTGAGTCTTTACTGTAAGATTTTGTGCTATTTGTTATTGATGTTTGTGATGTTACTGTTGTGATGTTTTGTGTTGATAGACGACTTGGCTTACCTTCACGTCGGTGTCTATCGTTAAAAATGATTATAGGGTTGTTTCATACTGAAACTGACTATATATAATCATTCACTAAAAGCCAAGCATTCAATTTTTATATTAAACTGTAAGGGTTTATCTTTTTTTGATTATTTTTAGTGTGCTTTTTTTTGAAAAGAGTTTATAATCGAAACTTGCAACAAAAAATCTTGAAACCTTTACACAAAATCTATTCACACAAAAAAAACAATCTCAAAGTAAGTTTCTTATTTGATATCGCCTTGGTCACACTTTTGAGTTTTTAAATAAAAGAGTACATTAATGTGTTATGTTTTCAATAATTTTGTTTTATTTTAGTTCGAATGCCTTCTCTTAATGTTGATCGTTTTTTAACATCCAAAGGGAAGTTTTGTTAATCTTTATACCATTTACTAAAAGATATATTATAGGGAAACAATTCAAATTGATTTTATAAAGTACTTCTGATACTTTTTATGTTATATATAATAGATATTGTAAAATTTAAAAAAAAAAAAAAATTATTTTTTTAATTTTATCTCAAGAAAAATGTTTTTTGTTTCTCACACAAATTTGTAAATTTTTTCTCTTTGGAATTATAGTATTTGATGGATACATTGCTCATTTTGCTTTTTTTATATATATCTCCGTTATATATGAATGGAAACCGTTAATACTTTTATTACCATGGTAATTACAGATCTAGATAGTTCCATTCCCATTAAGTATTTTACAAATTTTCGGTACAAATAATAGCTATAGTAGTTTAATAATTTGCTAATTTAAAAACATTTAGAAAAATTTGTTGCGAGTTTATTCTAGAAAATTTGCTTTTCAAACAAATAGAGCTAATTTTTGACATAATTAGGATTCGTCACCTGATTCTTTGTCAAATACTTCTCCTTTTTAAATAGGAAAGGTTAATTTTATAAAAAAGTTTGCCAAAACACTGGGAGAAATGTCACGTAATTGGTAACTATGTTAAATACACTTTTGTTAGGTCCACGTAATTTTCGAATCTGCTCATCACTACGTTAGATGGCGTTATTTCTTTAAAATACCTTAAAAATCTTCAATTCAAAGTTTTTGTTTCAAATCATCAAAATATTGGCATATGATATAAATATACGATTCTAATAAACCAAAAGTATGTGGAAAAATTGCGCATACTTAGGCATCATAAAAACTTAATTCACACCAACCATTTACTTCGATATTTTTTAGTGTATGGCAGAAAAATAAATTACGAATTGTCTTAGATAAATAAAGTTACCGGACCTTTATTACTTAATCCATAAACAATTATTGTTTCATTCGATTTAACACCACAATAAAAAACAAAGCTTTTTCTATTTATTTTCGAAAAACGTTTTACTGGAAACCGAGTTCTTTTGTAGCATTTTAGTTAGAGTTATAGAAAAATCTCTTATTTTGTTAAGTAAAAAAAAAAATCTTATGCTCTTCTAATTTTAGTCACCAATAACAACTATGTTAGGAATAGTAGAAAATGTTATGTGTGGTAGAGAAACTGTTTTAGTGTGGTGTTGTAGGAGTACTGCGGGTCTAAGAAACTTTGTTTTCATCGATAAATTATTCTATTGGTCTATTAAAACAGTATGAAAACTTTCCAGTATTTATATTTGATGTCTTTTTTTCATTTTATTTTATAATTGTAATTTAAGTTTCAAAAAGCAGCAAAAACAACTTGAAAAGAACTATCGCACAATGACTCGCTTAAACACAGGATTCCAATTTCCTGATATACATGGAAATGCTGATATTGCTTTCACTATATTGTCTCTTTGTAATGTGTAACATCATTTTTACTTAGGTTTGCCAAATGACCGGCTTTTACAGAGTAGAATATAGTCCCAAACATATACAGTTCAGTTCTTTTACTGCTTTCTTCTTCATAAAAGCCGGACGTCTTGCAACCCTTGAATTTCCCCTTCTTTTTGTTTGCATAAATTACATAATTCTCTTAATTATAAATAATCCAAATCCGATTTTCGAACAGCTTATTTTAAAATCTAAAGAAATATAAGCGATTAAAGATTACATTTTGCAAGCCAACTAGATGCTTAAACAACTCAAAAGACAGCCACGCGCTCATTATAACTCTCTTATAGTTTTAGAATCTGAGTGAGTTACTGTTTTGAATATCTAAAATCTTCAAATTAAGTTTTTATGATTTTAAGTTAAATTAGACTTAAGAATATGTGTAAGAATTGAGAATAAATATTTACTTTTTATTTTAGAAATGAACACACAAGAAAATTTAAACGGTATGTATTTATTGCATATGTGTGTTAGTGCTGTATGCGCTTATATTAGATATTATATCTATATATCTATATATATCTAATATATGCGTATACAGCACAAACGCTATACTTTATTTAGTACGCATATATAAATATATAAATATAAATAGACAAACAATTTACACTCTTATAAACAGTGTTGGGTTAACTGATAGACAAAATAAGCACTGCTATCATATTTTATTTATTGGAAATAAATAAAAATATCAAGTAATTCTCTTTTTAGACGATGATGGTGACTTTTTTAGAAGTAAGTAAACTATAATTTCTTTAGAAGTAAACAATTTTTATTTATATAAAGTGATAGTTATAAAAAATTTATTTCAAGTATGGAGAAATCAGTAGCATATTTTTTATCAAATATTTGTATACTAATAGTAATTTGATTGTTGGTAATAGTTATATAGTTATATACACGCAGCTATTTAATAGTGAAATTTCATTATTATATGTAAAATTCAAATCTTGAAATAAGAAAAAAATCTTTATGTGTTTTTCAACTAGAAACTTGGAATTTATTTTCTAGACCAGATGTTGTGATTATTATATTTTCTAGACTAGATGTAGTGCTTTATCATATGATATGCTAAATGTATATATTGTATTGTGTGTATATCTTAGATGCGCAGGAGATAATGGCAGAAGAGAAAGAGTCTTTTCTGCCTTATTTTAAAGAATTCTTCAATAATCAAAGTTAGCATTTTCTATTTTTTCTTTTTTACTTTAGTTTTTTCGAAGTTTATGTTACAGTAAATAAATTTATGAACTAATCTTTCATACATTTTGTTTATTTAGAAAATTTAGAAAGTAGAGTTAGTAGGCAAAATTTCATTATATTACTTTTATGTATATTAAGTAAAAAATAATGAGGTTGGCTTTAGTAATTTGTTCATCTATTTAGAAAAATTAGAAGATTTACAAAAGTCCATAGGTGAGTAAAATTGCTTTTATGTTTATTATACACCCTAATTATTTATGTACATCTAATATTAAATGCGTTTTTTCAATTTGAGATTAGTTTTGGACTTTGTACTTTTTGGTCAATTTTTTTAGATATCATTTTAAACTACATTTGTAAGTAACTATATTATGTTTTATGTCTCATAAAAGTTTTAATAAATAATATAATGTAATCACTTATATAGTGACAAATCCAACTTCCTCAGTAACGTATGTTGTTGTACTCACTTAGACTTGACTTATTACATTGATTGATTGTTTTTATTGCATTTTTAATTTTCTTTTATTTATCTCTAGCTGCTGCTTCTTCTGTTACAAGTAAGTTGTTCTATTCACTTATACTTGACTTAATTTATGGATTAATTGGTTTTATTGCATTTTTAACTTTCTTTTATTTATCTCTAGCTGCTGCTTCTTCTGCTACAAGTAAGTTGTTCTATTCACTTATACTTACCTTAATTTATTGATTAATTGGTTTTATTGCATTTTTAACTTTCTTTTATTTATCTCTAGCTGCTTCTTTTGTTATAAGTAAGTCACTTTTACTTAACTTATTACATTGATTGATTGTTTTTATTGCATTTTTAATTTTCTTTTATTTATCTCTAGCTGCTGCTTCTTCTGTTACAAGTAAGTTGTTCTATTCACTTATACTTGACTTAATTTATGGATTAATTGGTTTTATTGCATTTTTAACTTTCTTTTATTTATCTCTAGCTGCTGCTTCTTCTGTTACAAGTAAGTTGTTCTATTCACTTATACTTGACTTATTTTATGGATTAATTGGTTTTATTGCATTTTTAACTTTCTTTTATTTATCTCTAGCTGCTGCTTCTTCTGTTACAAGTAAGTTGTTATATTCACCTTTACTTGACTTATTACATTGATTGATTGCTTTTATTGTACCTTTTGTTTTTTAATATAGCTACAAATGTGCTTTCCAGTTTAATTAGTTAATGTAATAAGTCAAGTATTAGTGAGTAAAATAAATAAGTTGTTGTGCTCACTTGTACTTAATTTATTACATTATTTGCTTTTATTGTTTTTTTACAGTAGATTTTTTGTAAGTATTACCTTGGTAGATAGTTGTATTTATATATAATTTTTTTTTCAGGCTCGAAGTCATGGGAAGATTTCAGAAAGTATCGCTCCCAGTATCCAGGCCCTCTATCTATGAGGGCCTTCCATTGCTGGTGTTTGTATGGGGACGACCATCCCTACTTTAGATGGAGGGATAGCACCCCATACAACACGGGGAATAGAGCGGATGCTGGGAGGAGAAGACAACGTGGCGCAAAAGTTGTCAATAATTTTTTTACATATTAAAATGTAAAGAAATTGACAACTTTTGAGCCACTTCATTTTTTTTTTGTAATATATTTTTGTAAATTTATTTTTGTGTTGTTTTTTAATTTTTTCCATGAATGTTAAATGTTATCAAAGTAAATCATTTAAATAAAGACACCTTTATCAACAATGCTCATTAACTAGAAATAAAAGTCACGGTCATACATTTGATAAAGTTAATGTTAATCTCAAAGGGATTTGGTTTTCACACAATCAAATTCTATGTAGCACCTTCCAGAACTAAGAATATAAATGTGTGGTGTTAGTAGTTTAAAATATGTATAATAAACTCAGAATAACTCAATAACCCTCAACAAAACTATGAACTAATTTTTAAATTCAAGTTAAGC